CGAGCTCACTGCCTGCCAGGCCCAACTACCAGGGCTCCTCCACAAGCAAGCTGGAAGTCGGAATTTTGGAGTCAGCCAGGCAGCAGGAACTTGTCTAGAAGTTCAACTCTACCATCCCCTTTGTGCCATGGATCCTTACACCCACAAGTAAAGAGGAGAGTGTGACTTGGAAACAGTGCTCCAACCATGGAGGTTCCAAACCAGCAATCTGGCTCTTGGCAGGGGGAGGCTGGGCCACCTCACAGTATACGTCAGTGAGCCTTGTTTCCTCAGAGAAACACCTCCCATCCCACAGGCACCCAGTGACTTTCTTTCAGAAGGATGAATCAGAAGGCTCCACCTGGCAAAGCTCAAGTGACTCTCTCACATTACATGTAGTAAACCACTGTCACCATCTCACCTTCCCAGCTTCTGTCCTTCTCCAGTAAAAGCTCTGAAGACACTTTTAGGTTTCACATACTCCTCATCACGGTGATCTTCCATGTCCAGGCTCACCTGTCCGCCCCGTGCTAACCTGCGCAGCTCAGCTGGGACTTCCCTGCAAAGAGAGTGTTCTAAGGCAGCTGCCTGAAGCAGCAAGGCAGGAACGTATGGACAAAAAGCCCAAGATCTCTGGAATTTCAGGAATCACAGACAGCCTTTGCTTAACTGACAGGGCAGACAACTGACAGACACAAATTAAAGGTTACTTCTCCCTGGCCTTCACCTGCAGTGACACAATGCATCAGAAATTCTCAACACAAATATGAACATGTTTGTTTACTCCAAACTCTCAAGGCCCTACATAAACCAAACCCACTCCCTGTTTACCTGAACCAAATGTTCCATATTAAGAGTAACTAACTTCTTGCAGGAAAGGTCAGGTGAAATGTGTCATGGATTCAGAAGCCTGGATTCCACAGACACTCATGCTTCAGAAAACAGCTGTCCCTTTTCTCCCCTCTCACTACGTACCCTCTGCGGATATCATCGAGGAACTGGGCATTGGACGGATCCTGGTAGCTCCTCAGCTCTCCACTGTCCAGACTAAATCCACTCTTCCAGAGCTTCAGTACAACGTGCACCTGCAGCAGCCCCAAAAGAACAATCAGCCTCACTGAGCAACTTGGTGACAACAAACACTGAAGCAAAATGAAAAGTTCCACATAGCAGAGGAGCTTCAAGGTGCAGAAACATTCCAGCAGGTTTCTCTGAGTTAAGGGAAAAATACAAAGCACTGGCTTTTATGTAATGGTCAATTCCTAGAAGGTGGCACCATGGTCCCCTTTCAGATAAATATGCCTGAAGGGCCAGGAATGTGCTGGGCCAGGAGCTGAAACCAGGCTCCCACCACAGCCATGACCTTGTCTGGTCACAAACCAAGCACAAGGGAATCTTGAACTGATGCTATCAGCTCCCATCTATGGATATATATTGGATACATATAATAATGGATAAAAAAGAGTTGATTTCCCAATGCTCTTTGCACACTATTTTTCCCAATCTGCACTTCTAAGAAAGGCTCAAATTCTTAATTAAAAGATCACCAGGGAACTACTTACCCAAGACCTAATCATCTATTATTTTCTACTTGTAAATCCCACAGGAAGCAGGATTTTCCTTATTTCTGTCCTTGTGAATTTCTATCAAGCTTTGTAACTCTCGGGGCTGGCAAGCTCTGTAGCTGGAGCAGAGAAATCCCTGGAGTGACAGCTACAAACCCCAGCAGAGATACTCACATCCTGAGAAGAGTTCTGTCTCCTCTCTCCTGCCACATAAGCTGACTCCTCCTCTGGCGTAGCCCCAAGGCGATACCCTCCCCCTGCAAAGGGCTGTGAGAGAGAGGCAAGCACAGGGTTACAGAACCACACGGACCCAAAGAGCTGCTTCCCTGTCCCCACCACCCTGTGGGTGAACAGGGGCTTCATGGCATCAACAACATCTCCTGCCCTGCAGGCAGTGACAGCTTCAGCAAGTTAATAAGTGTGGCACAACAGAGCGGCTTTTTTGCCACTGTGACACAAAATGGAGCTGCACTAAGAGAGGAGCCCAGCCTTAGCTGCTGAGATAATTCCAGGACTCCTCAGTACCAAACAGCTGGCATGGTGGAACCTTAAGTGAAATGGGAAACAGAAGTAAGAACTCTTCCCTCCTCACCTTTGGCTTGCTCGTCTCACCACCACTTTTGGCCATCCGATCGACCGCCACCGCGCCGTGTTCCTTGGCTCCCTTGAACAGATCCTCCACCAGCTCGTTGGGACTCTTCTTCCTCGGAGGACCCACGATCTGCTGGCCACTTCTCTCTGAGCCACCAGCATAAAACCTAACAGAAAGCACCAACTCCTGGTCAGCCCTGCCCGCTGCCTCTGCAGGAGCCAGTGGGTTGGATCAGGGCTCACTTGTTTGTGCTTGTGCAGCTCAGTGAAACCCCCTGGATCTACAAACACTGGCTACCACCAGTGTGTCTCCCACTGCAGCCATGTGCAAGCTCCTGTGCTGCAAAGGCTTTCTTTTTATGTCAATTACTGTAAATTACCCATGGATCAATAGCAATAAATAACAATGCTCAGACCTGGGAAGAGGAACAGCCCAGAGGGACAAGCCCAGTTTTAAACACCAGTACCAGCTCGATTACCCAGCTGAGCAAGGCTTCCAGCAAGTCTCTGACCTGTCAGAGCAACATGCAGCTGGAATTCTGAGAGAAGGCACACGTTCATGCCACACAAAGGACGGATCTCAACTGGAAGCAATGGATGCAGAGTCAGTGAAGTGCAATTAAGCACTTCTGGAAGATTGGGTTTATTAGCTTCCAGATGGCTTGTAACACGCAGAGTGAGCTCCCAGCTGCCTGCAGACCACAGCCCATCCAGGCTGAGCCACCCCTTCAGATACATCAGTTCCATTCCATTTACCTTGCCTGTCAACCTTAAGGGTATTTAACTACTTAGAGCTGACATTGCAGGAGACTGTCCTACTAATACTCCACATTCCCCCTGGAAAGGGGCCCTACCTTTTTATTCCTGACTCCACACTCCATTACTTTACCCCTAAGCAATGCTTAAAAAAAAAAATAAAAAGCCAAAACCAAAACACCAACCAAAATAAACCCCCAAAACCCCAGGCAGTACGAAAACCAATCCTTGCATAATTCCCACATTTCCATTCCCTGTGGACACAAATGAGGATCTGGGCTGTTTTCTATTCTTAAGCCAGGGCTTCCACATCCCACTTTAGGCTTGCTCTCAGTGCTGAGAGCCGGTGCTTACACAGCTGAGCACATGCTTGTGCACAGGCTTTGCACTGACAAACCTGCCCTGTCAAACCTCAAATGTTTCATTACAGGAACTTCATATCCATATAAACCTGTTTTCTCAAAGAAGCTGTACGCAAGCAACAAGTCCTCCCAAAAGGAAAGGGATAAACACCCAGCGTTTGAGCCTTCAGCTGCAAACTTACCGCTGTCCCTCCTCCTCTTCATCATCCTCCTCCTGCGCATGCACAAGGTCTCTGAACGAGGTTACTCGATGGTCACTGCAAAAATCCAGCAAGAAGGATCTCAGCCTCGAGGCCCATTCCCAGCTGGAACATTCCACACTGCAACAGGCTCCTTCTGCAAGGTGAGCTCTGTTCACCAACACCTGACCCGAGAGCACTTCTCCTTCATGACAAAGGCAGCAACTCCTCTTTGGAACTGGACAGCATTCCTTTACTTCTAAGGGATTTGATATGGTAAAATTCACTTTTTTGTTCTGTGAAATGCTCGGCCTGATCAGCTAAGGTGTTACGTAAAATGAGAAAATATTCTTCCTGCAGAGATATGATCTGCTTAAACAAAAGGTCACCACCAGACTGTTTTTAATGTCAAAAGATAAATCAAGCTTTTCCTGAGCCATGAGGCAAGTTTTCCTAACTGATCTCTGGCTTAGTTGTGCAATAACAGCCATGCTCGCGATGTACAAACACTTGGGTTTTCACAATTTCTACAGAGCCACACAAGGTGAAGCAAACCTAAACACAGAGCTACTTCTCCTGAAAATCAACACAATCAGTGCTTTAGAGAACGTGTGTTTTGTCTGCTTTCCAGCATGGAGCTGAAGCTCCCTCCTCACCTGGCTCCAGTGCCTCTGGATATGGAGCTGGGTGTGGGCTGGGGAAGGGTCAGGATGTCCTCATCACCCCCGTCCTCATAGAAACTGGCGAGTGCAATCTGGAAAAGAAAACCACCAAAGCCGCTCAGGAAAAATACACACAAAGAACACAGCTGAAGAATCTGTCACCTGGACCTCCTAAGGCATGTCACACTAAAGACACTTCATGTCATTTCCCCTGCTGCAGGCCCTGGCAAAGACGAGGCCTCAGCAGGTTGTGCTATTTGGCTGTGTCATGGCAGGACACTCACTGCAGCGGGGATGTCGCCCTCCCTGTCAGGGAATGTCAAGGCCCTCCTTCAGCAGCACTTGTATAGGAGTTGTGCCGAAATGACTGCTCTGAAATAGCAGCTTTTGTGTCGTCAATGAGCAGACTCAGAATTTACCACAGCCAGTTTGAGGAGAAGCAGGGACAGCAGCAGGTCGGAATGGTGGCTGACTCCCTCTCGGTTTGTTTGCTGACAGAGCCAACAGCACAGCACTGACAACCTCGCCAGCATGCCAGGAAAACCTACACAACCCCGGCAAACCCCAGACGCACCGTCCCTCACCTCGCGCTAGAAAGTGAACGACAGAACCAGGAGGGGCCTCAGTCTCAGCCAGCCCAGGGCCTCACTGCAAGGGCTGAGTCCGGAGACGGACGGGGGCGAGGCCTGAGCCTGCAGGACAGCGACCTCCGGCCCAGCGCTGCCCCCCGCCAGCGCCACGGCCTCCTGAGCCGCGGCCCCGCCCATCTCCGCACCGGGCCAGGGAGGGCAGTGGCAAAGGTACCTGGAGGTCCCAGCCGGCGGACTCGAGGAAGAACCGCGCTCGCTCCTCCTCGGCGCCGGTCACGGCCACGAACTCCCTCAGCGCCTCCTCCCTGTCCGCCATCTTGCCGCGGTGCAGCGCCCAAACCCCGCCGGGCCGCCCCGCACCNGTGAGCTGCGAGCGGACATCATCCTTCTGCAGGGTCACCATCACTGTGCTGGACATGTTGTAGGTTTTCATCCTCCATTCGGTGACCTGGGGCATCTGAGCCACCATGGGGTCCTTGTTCTTGAACCATTTCACCCCAATCTTTTCGGGAAAGAACCCTCCAGTCGTGCAGACAAAAGGCACCGACTGCCCTGGCCTCGCTCTCTGCCTGGGCCCAGACACGAGCGGGGGGCTGGGTTTGGCTGTGGGGAGAAGCACGGGGCCATCAGACCACGCTCTGCCCCCTGCCCAGCCCTGGGCCTGCCAGGAGCAGAGTCTTCTACAAGGGCATGGGGACGGCCCATGGGATTCTCTCCTGCACCAGCCCTGAGCCCCTTCCCCATCCCTGCTCTACCTGAGCAGAGCCCACTGGGCTGGTTCCCATCAGGAGCTGCTCTGGGAGCCCCACTCACCTTGCACAGACACCTCAGTGCCCCTGCCACGCTGAGACACCTCATCCACACCAGTGTCTGTCTTGACATACTTCACACAGTAGTAGCTGCCCATGTCCTCAGGCTGAACGTTCCTGATGTGGATGGTGAAGTCTGTGTTGGTCTCAACCACTGCTCTTGTCACACTGGGTAAGGAGAACCCTTTCTGGTCATAGATGGTCTTGCTCCCACTGCCCCAGCCCTTCAGCCACTTCACAGGACCCGGTCCAGTGATTCCAGACGTGGTGCAGTTCAGGGTGAGCGTCTCCCCCGCTGTCACCATCACCTTGTCCTGGGGCTGCTGCAGACTGAAGCCCTGATCCTCCTGGGCACTCACACCTGGGCACAACAACAGGAAGATTTGGAATTGACAAGGGGCCCCAGGGCTGGGGCACAGCACGAGGCATCATCAGACCCCAGCCCTGAGCCTGGAGCAGGGGACAGAGAGATATTCCTGTCCCTTGTCCCCCAGGCTCCTGGGGACTGCAGGATGAGGAGAGCTCAGATTCTTGCTGGAGTAAACTGAATTTCATCTGGAGACAAAAGTAAGCTGGAAGGGAGGCAGAAAGAGGAGATCCCATGGGCACAGGGAAGGACTGCCAGGCCTGCAGCATGGGGATAGCGTGCATGGGAAATGTGATGGGGCTGTGCAGGCCCCACTTACCCAGGTCTCTGCAGAGAAGGAGCAGCATCAGGCACATGAGAGGCAGTTCCTGTGTCACTGGAGCCATGGATATTCCACGTTCTGCTCCCTGATGGCTGGGCTTTGCTCAGCTGCATTCAGCTCTGTTGGACTCAGCTGGACTGGGCTTAGCTTAGCGGGGTGCTGGGCTCTCACCCCGCAAAGCGGAAGGAAAGGGGCCACAACCAGCCCAGTTCCTTCATGCAATCAAATCCCCTTTGTTTCTCAAAACCCACATCATCTCCTGTCACAAGGCTGCAATGTCCACCCCACTGTCCCCTCAGATGTGTGCCACAGCCAGGGCCATGGGCACAGGCACCGAGCAGCCAGCAGGAGGGACCCGGGATGCGGCAGGGTCCCCCACACATGGCCAGCCTGTGGCTCAGCACTCCGGGGTGCCCCTGCCAGCAGCATCGGGCTGCGGGATGCTGCAGAGCAGTGCCTGGGATATACTGAGCATCCCACATCCCGAAGCCCCGGTGCTGCTGCCCCTCCCCGGGCCGGGGAGGACGCAAAGCCGCTCCCTGTCCCGAGCCCAGAGCAGCCTCTGGGTGCCAGCTGGCCCCGGTGGCGGGGTCCCGGCAGG